GCCTTTTTTTCCCTGCTTGATGCGAGGACTTTGCACGCCAAGACCGGCAGAATATTTTTACTTTTAAGCTTTTGGGCTTAAAATTAAAAATAGAAAAGTAAAATTTTCATCAAGCGCACAGACGAGAGTGGACGAAGGAAGAAGGGGGAGGGACAGGATATGCAAGGGATAGACAAGAGGGAAGGTTGGAAAAAAGAAAAAAGCAAGCAAGCGAGATGATAATGGGTTGGGAAGCGCTGATCTTAGTCAGGGAGAGAAACAGACAAGAGGAAGAAGAAAAGAAAAAAAAATTCTTCGCAAGGGTGGTGGGGGAGTCGAGATAGGGCTGCATAGAGCCAATCATCAGCGGAGAGAACGACGCTGGGAAGAAGGATACGAGATGCCATGTGTCCTGGGTGAAGAGTTTTTTTTTTTCCCTTTTCCTTTCTTTTCCCACCGATCGCATCTCTTTTGCATCTTGCTGGCTTCTGGCCTAGAGGCCCGTCGGCCCCGTTGCGCGCCGGGCACGTTGGTTCCAGGCCTGGACTCTGGTACGGAGTAGTTTAAACTAGGGAGCGAACCTGACGAGCTCTGGCCACGGCATGTCTTAGACAAAGAGGATCTCATGACTCGCTTGCCCTGCCAGCAGCCTGGTCGATATACAGGATGTCACCGGTGAAGAGCGAGCGTACTCCGTAGGAAGAATAGCGCTGGACATGTAGCATCCGTCGAGCTCTCCATGCCACCTAAACTTGACCCTTGAGAGGGACCATGGGCCCTGCAAGCCACAAACCACCACAAACTGCCTGTCAATCTCTCCAAACCCCATTCCCATCCCATCGCTGACTCCATCAAACACCATCACCGCGCATGACTAGTTTGAGTTGGCTGCACTAGCCACCGTGGCTCAGCACAGCCTCACTTGTGGCCCTTCTCGTTTTCCGCACAGCAAGCCAGAGCCAAGCGCCGTATTCGGCAGCATTCAACCGATCGACAACGCCCGATCGTCATCGCGGCTCACGTTCTCTGCTCCTTTTAGCCGCCAGATGAGACAGATCGGGCACACGAAGCGAAAAAAAAAAAAAAAAGCGAAAAGCAAAAAAAGAGGGTAACTCAAGCTGTGGCTGTGCAGGCATTTCTCCCCATCGTGATTGGAAGGTGGGTTTTTTTTCCCTCTTTTGTGCCATTTTCTCTCCACTGGCCAGTTCGTTAGTTGGCTGATGGGATATCGTGAAGAAGTGCGGTGTGCTCCTTTGGGAAAAAGGGGGAAGGATGGTCGCTTGAGCGTCCGTCTTGGTTGTCCGTAGGGCTGTAGGTACCCGCCTTTGCGCATGGGTAGCTTGTACTTTTGCTCCTCGGAACTCCCAACAGCTGCCACGAGTTTCTGCCCTCCCCGCTAGGTTATCAACAGCCCGGCAGATGCTCCGTTCGATTAGTAAATGGAATATAGGCAGGATAGCAGCGAGTTGCTCCGTCGGAACATCCGATAGCTCATGCTCCTCCTCGTCGTCGTCGTCGTCGGCGTCGGATGTCGGGCCCGTAGACTGGCCGTCGGCCGTCTCTGTCTCCTGATGCCAACTCCGAGGTGAAATAACCGTCCGGCAGGCTGCGCTGCTCCTGTATCTTGGTATCGTGAGGTTATCCGCGAAATCTCGTGCATGTACCAACTACCTCGTCCCTCGCCAATGGTACACTGGCGCTTAACCCTTCCCGTTCCTCTGCCTTTTCTTGCTTTTTGGCTCTCTTTTCAATCCATCAATCATCGTTCTCGTTTCCACTTCTGGGAAGCTTCTTGCTTTTTCTTCTTTTTCCTTGTTTGCTTTTTGGCTGCAAGCCCTGTCGAGGTGTGAAGAACGATGCTGTCTTTTTTTCACTCGCTGCACCGCCACATGACGAGATCTGATGTCGTTGATGATGGAATCATCGATCTCGAACGGGCAGATATCGTAGTACTAACACCGCTTGGTACGGGGTTATGTGTATTGATATCATAACAATTAATAATGGCTGACAATAAGCGTCACCATGAACATCAACCACCAACACGAGCGTTACACTGCTCACACGGTTCATGCCCAGTTCATGTCCACTCCTGCCTGACTCCCAGCTCGGGACCAAGATTTGTTTCGCATCAGAATCACGACATGACCAAAACCAAGAACAAGGGGGAAACACCAACTAGGTTATCGTTCAAATCCCTAAGGCCGACATTTTGCGTCTCGCTTCAGACCCCTAAATTAAAATAATGCCATAGTCGTGCGAAACAATGGGCGGACGAATGATCGCTCGCATCTGGGCCGTACAAGAGGGTTGATGGTGCAATATGGATCTACAGCCGACAACAAGACAGACCATTTACCATCGCACCACCACTAAAAACCACATGTTTCTCCTCCTTTCTCCCTGGCTAAACTTCAGAACTGGAGATTGAGATCTGAGATTAACTTCTGTGATCTATCGAATTACGGATCTTGGATTTCTCATTGCTTTTTTTGGTTTTGCTTTGCTCTTTCAATCCAGTGGATTGGCTGTTTCCCTTGCTCTGCTATCTCGAGATTCCCGGTGGAAAAGGCCGAGAAAAGAGACGCGATGCCCAGTAGTAACTAAAAAGTGGTGACCAGGAATTGACGAGCTCGTGAACCCAGTCAACGGAGCAATCTGGGTATCGGATTCTGCCCGTGTCGTAAAGTCAGTAAATCAACAGCAACAAAGACTAAGAAGGGGGAGAGAAAAAAAAAAAAGAAAAAAGAAAAAGAGATAGTTAACTAAGAGAGAGCCCAGGATTTCGGAAACTATCCTATCCTTACCCAGACAAACCCTTTCCCGAGCCTACCGTCCCTTGCTAGGCCCTACGTACCACTACGACGGGACACGAAGTAGTTGCCGTGCCCTCTAATGACTAGTCAGCAATATTGAATAATGTATTCCTGTTATTATTCTGATTTGTCAAACTGAACCCGGTCGACAGGGTATCTGACTAGCTTGGGTCGAAGCGTCTCAGAGACCCGATGGCCGAGTGATTGTGTCATCGGCACGTCAGGAGTAGTCATCGATAGTAATCATTCTCGTAGTCACCGTAGTCACCGGCGAGAACCTCGCTGCCGGTCGGGGATAAGCTGGATGTATTAATATTATTATTCCCGTTCGCGCAGCCTATGTAACTGTCGAGTCGACCTTGAGGTTTTTGATGTTCCGGGCGGCCGAGATAAGTCCGTCCGGGGTTCGAGGTCAGATGACCACCACGAGTCAGACAGCCGAGCCAGGGCGGGCTCGTCGCAGCAGCGATGGGGAGGGGGGAGGGGGATAACACAGGATTATTGAGAAGACAGCTGGAGATGATGCAGCGTGGTCGGAACAGCACTACACCCATGGATGGTCAATCCTGTGGCTGGAGTAACAGAACGTGGAGGTCTCATCATCATCATCATCATCACCACCACCATAATCATCATCTCTCTGTGTGCTCTCGAACTATGCGCTGCTATTGACGACGATCCCCACGATCGACTTCACTAGCCACATAAGTCGCTCATATTAATGATGAGCTAACCGCACAGTGTACATGTGAAGTAAGTAGCGAGTAAGCAAGCAAGTACAGACGGGACAGGGAAAGCCAAAAAAAAAAAAAGAAGTAGAAGAGAGCAGCAAACTCATCACCCTCCAAAAAGCAACGAAGCCACTGCAAAAGAGCGAGCCCGATTAGAATCTCGTCGTAACCGGAAGAAGCAAGAAGGGACAACCAAATGACGATGAATTACTGCATCAGGTCGCATTCATGCATGCAGGTTGAGTTTCGTTGCTTTTTTGACTTCTTAGTTTGTTAATGTCATTGTGGCGGAGTTCGATCGGTGTAACCGGACAGGGCAAGGGTAAAGCCACAGACCACTCGACACCTTTTTTTTTTTTCCTTTTCGCTTTTTCCTTTTCGACTCCAGTATCTCCGGGTAGGGAGAAGAAGCGCATACGGAGTACGGAGCAAGACGGAGGACGGAGACCGGAGTAGTTCGGCTGCCCTTTTTGTGTTTGTATCTAGTCTTAAGAAGTAACCTGTTAATTCCGCGAGTCGTGGGGTGATTTAAGTAGTTAGCTAGGGTTGGCGTACGGACATGCTGGCCTGGGCCTGGGAAAATAGCCCTAATGGCCTCTCCCTCTCCCTGCGCTCTCTGGGGCCTCTCTGGGACCCCTGATGCTCTGCGTCCAGAGACGGGAAAGGCAGCAAGGGCGCTTCGTCTGCTCGTCGTCGAGGGCTCGCCCTGCTTGCTTCTTCCATGTTCTTTCGATGTCGTCGATGTCCTGCATAATAGCCCTGTGCACAAGCCCCCAAGCCCGAAGTTTTAGTGCGGAAACGGCCTTGGCATCCAGATCCAGCCTAGCGCGGATGACTAAAGGCGGTGAAGATTAAGGTTGCAATAATGAAAAAAGAGCCACGTCAAATCTTCCCGATCCGGCCTAGCGTAGATTAACCTTTGCAAAAAACAATTAGACTTTTACGTAGACGCGGATACTATATAGTAAAGAAAAGAGAACTGCCTGGATATTTTGCTCCCATCACTTTCCTCAGGACATCAAGTCAACAGCAGACCAACAACCACCAACCAGCAAGGAAAGCCGCAGCCGACGACATTCCAATTCACACAGCATAACCTCCCTGCACCAGCCACACCTTACACCAACTTACCAAGGCCACCCGAAGGGAGCTGAAAAGCAAAAAAGAAAAGGGCCAAAACGCAAAGGGAACTTCCATGACCACGCATTGGGTTGCCGCACCGCAGATATAACAAACAACCTCCCACCTTTTTCTCCCTCCCTCTCTCTCTCTCTCTCTCTTTTTTTTTTTTAATTACTATATATTCTTTTTATTATTACTATTATTTTTTGATTCGAATCCAGTGGTACAAAGCAAAGGCATTCCACAGAGTTTCAGCCCTAAAGGAGGTTGATTTGAGGTCTTGGCTCTCTCGCCACTTGAACCTCGCTGCAACTTTTTCCGGACTCGCGGGCAGGTATATCTATTAGAGAGGATGCTGTCCTCCATCCCTTCACTGTCGACATCATATATCCGCCACAGCACCGGCCCTTTTGCAGAGCAAACCCTCCTACAAGACCAGCTCGACCAGCTTGACCAGCTCGAGTCGCAGCTGCTTCTCTCTTCCTATCAACACCACCAACACCACAACCACAACCTCCAGCAAGACCAACAGCAAGAACAACATCACCACCACCAGACCTTCAGTGATATCAGTGATAGTCCATCGTTGACCTTCCCTGTTTACCACAGCTGCTCTACGCCGCCGCCAGAGTCTTCTTCTTCTGCCGTGGCCTCCCCTTACGCCTACGACTCCGCCTCCCCTGTCTTCTCTGTCCAGGGCTCTCCTGAGACCGACTTCATCTCTTCCTTATACCACGGCGCAGGCGGCTTTTCTATGCCCGACGAGAGTTTCCCGCCTCGGGAAGACGGTCTATCGCATACTCCACCGCCACCTTCAATAAAGGTGTTCCAGTCTTCGCCGCATACCAGCAGCAGCAACACCAATAATAACCACCGCACCACCACTGCCGCCGCCGCCGCCGCCGCGAACAACAACAATAACAACCAGATGCTGTTGCAGTCCGGCCTATCTTATGAAGGAGATCTCCAGACGCTGCTGCCACCACAACAACGTAACCGTCACCGTCTCTCTCCCAGAGCACCCGGCCAGACACCCGGAACCCCAAGCGCCATCGCAAAACCTCAGCAACAACAACAATCTCAGCAACAACAGCATCAGCAACCCGCCCAGCATAGGCGCACCCCATCCTCTTCCTCCAACGTCTCCCTCACTTCAGGCTACCACAGCTACTCAGGTTACGACCAAAGCTCCTCCAAACCTCTGCCCACTCCCGAGCAGACTCCCGTGCAGGCCTCCTTTCTGGGTCAGCCACAATTCCCTTCCTACGACCCGTCTTCCTCATACCGAAATGCAGGGGACCATCCAGATATGGAAATGGCAATGAGACGAGCTGTATTTGAACAGCAGAGACAACATCAACAACAACAGCATCGTCAGCAACAGGCAGCTCACGCCGTTGAGGAAGAAGCAACTACTTTCCCCTCCTATACTCTCCCACCCTCCGTATCAACACTGAGTCACAACTCGTCAGCCACACCTCAGGGTCACATGAACGCCCGAGCTAACTCCCCCCGGGATGCCTCTCCTTGGGCCCAGCAGGTCAGCGTCTTCCAGAATGCGCTTCACCACCCATCGCATATGAACTCGTCTCTGCGAGGAATGGAGCTCATGAGCCACAATGGCCACGAAGAGCAGCCCAAGACCATATCACCCAAGGATGCCATGCTTGAGTTCCACGAGTCTCCTGCAGACAGCAGTAGCATGCCCCTTTTCCCTTCCCAGGCCGAGGCTTCTCAGTTTGAGGCTGCCGTGGCAACAACACTGGCCAATACCGACTTCTCCAACGATGCCTTTGCCCCTTTTTCCTCCGCCTCCCAGAATACTCCCCAGCCTTACTTCCTCGGCCAGACTGCCGGTGCGGACGTACTACAATACCAGACCAACACTCCCCAACAACAACACCAGCCCCCGCATCAACAACACCACAGCCACCCCCAGCACCAGCAGAACAGCGCCGAGTTCGCTGCCGCTCTAGCCGGCCTTGACCAGGCCGCTGGCGTCGACCGCAAGATGCAGGATCACGACTCAGATCTGGCTACCGGCCGACCAGACGACACTACCTCTGAAGCTGGCACCTACAGCTGTACTTACCACGGCTGTACCCGGCGCTTCGAGACACCCGCTCGGCTACAAAAACATAAGCGCGAGGCCCACCGCCAGACTACGCCCGGCTCACACATGCTCTCGCGTGACAACTCGACGCTGGGAGCACGCGGACTTAGCGCCCGTAACTCCCAGGCCGGACCTCACCGATGTGAGCGCACCAACCCATCGACAGGCAAGCCATGCAACTCTATCTTCTCGCGGCCGTACGACCTTACACGCCATGAAGATACGATACACAATTCCCGCAAGCAAAAGGTGCGCTGCCACCTGTGCACTGAGGAGAAGACCTTCTCGCGCAACGATGCTCTAACCCGGCACATGCGCGTCGTCCACCCCAACGTCACCTGGCCGGGCAAGCAGAAGCGAAGAGGTCGCGAGGACTAAACCTCCCTTCCTTCCTTCTCTTCTCCTCTCTCCCCTTCCTCCCCTGGCTCATAGCATTCATCGAATTGTGGATTCCTGACTTTTTTGCAAAAATAAAAAACAAAAAAAGCACCCAACGCACTGCGCACCGCACACCCACGCACACGCACACAAACACGTACACCCCATCTCGAGAGCGAGCTTGAAGCTACCTTTCGAGAGCGAGGGTATGATGTTTATTATGACGTCACGGCCACACCCCAACCAAGAAAACCACGCGGTTTTAGAGTTTGGCAGAATCAAAAGCCGGACCGAAGTGGGGCCTGGCCGATCGATCGTCTTGGCAGTGACGTCATTACTCAATTATCCTATTCTTAGCACCATTCTTTCCCTTTTCGTCATTTGCATATCGGAGTTTCTCTTTCTGGAAAGAAAAAGGAAATGGAACAAGGAAGGAAAGACGAAGATGACATTCTTACACAAAATATTACTACTGCAATGAAAGATGAAAGCAAAGCAAGCGTTTTTCCTCATTTTTATTGTCATTCTGGGAGGCTTCTTGGGACGTTTTTCTCCTTTCTGCTTGTTCGTGTTAATGAGTACTTATGATTTTTTTTTTTTGGTTCGAACTACTTACATAGGTTGGCTGGTTTCCCCCTTGTTTTTTTTCTTTTTGTTTCTTTCCCTTTCCAAATAAGCAACTTTTTATATATACTTACCACGAACTCATACTTAATTACCTTTTTTTTCTTTTTTGCTTTTCCATATTTTACCTTTTTCTTTTCTTTTTCTTCCCCTTCCCCTTCCCTTTTTTTTCTCCTACATGAAGTTGGGCATGAAACATGCATGGAACATCATCATCGACATGAACATGGATTGGTGGAGTTAGTTCGGCGCCGAAGCAAAGGAGACATGAGATCGCAGCGAAGAAAAGAAAAAAACCATAATGAACGATGACGGCAGCATTCGAACCGCACACCATACTGCGGTTGAACTTGGAAACTGGCTAGGATGCGACGCAATGGAGTGAAATTATGCAAATGGGCGACGAATGCGTGCATTGGGCAATTTGAACGGGGCATGGAAAACACGGTGGTTTTCGGCATCTCTTTTGCATTTTGCGTTTGCGTTACTTAGAGAGGGAAGGGAGCATTTTGTACGAATAGGTATACAATTACGCATCATCAAACTAGCATAATCGACAGCTTTATTTTCTCATCATCTTCTTGAATTGACTTGACCTTGAGCGAACTTTGTCTTCATCTAAGTTTTTGTCAAAGTCGCTGGGTGACGACGTAGCAAGCTGTCATATAGGCTGTTTCGCGAGCTGGTTGACTCCAGGCGAACCAAGGGCAAGCTGGAAAGCAACCAAGCAACCAAAACCAAGCTGCGAGCTGCAAGCTGGCCAGAACGGCGCTGAACCGAGGTTGGCAGGCGCTTATTAATTGGCGCTTTGTCATTGACTGGATGGGCTTAATAAGAATTCTTAGTCAGCGGCTTGAAGCGAGCAGCAAAAGACGAAAAAAAAAAAGAGCAAAAAAGAAAGCGCTGCGTCGACCGGGAGTCGAACCCGGATCTCAACTTATCAGTCGGTGTGATGGAAGAGTCGTGTGCTACCGCTACACCATCAACGCTTGTTGCTTGAAAGAATCACTAACAGAGTGCCTCATATACCCAGTTCCCAGAGGGCTAGTATTTGGATGCTTCCTAGTTCGTCCTGCCTCGACTGCCCCTGAATTCATCTCATCCTCTCCTCAGTTTCTGAGAGCCATTGCAGTCATCTAGATTCAGCTATCTCTGTTTCTCTCGCTACATAATACCGCCTATACGCGCGAAGTATAAGTGTGTCCGGGCAGCCAACAGTACAGCAGAAGGTACAGCCTTAGGCCGTAGATATTTAGCTTCTCATATGGTGTCCTCCTATCTCCTATTACACGGTTCTGTTGCTTCAAGTCGTCAAGTCACGGTCTTATAACTCGTCAGTTGAAGGAGTTGACATTTGAATTGATTATTGAGCATTTATTAGTTACTAGTCTCTTCTTCTACTCACACCCAGACGTATGTCCTTGCTCTCTATCTGGCTGGTAGATACCGAGTAGTATTCCAAGTATAGCGGCAGGATCGCTTCTTTCGGCGGAAGCATCGCTGTATCCCTTTATTTTCACGCAACTATCCTATAATAGCGCCCAGCACGGCTCATAGGTTGTCCTCACATATATCCTCCCTTGGTCATTTATTTGCTCCTCCCCATGCAAAACCTCCACACAAGCAGCTATGTCAGAAACCCAGTCATTTCATTCATCGTCGGCAAGGCTTCCTTGTTCTGCCAACCCATCCGGAGCGTTTATCTGGCTCGACCTGCTCGTTGTACGGGAGCTTTCTGGCCCGTAGGCCATTTCTGATAGCATCGATAGGCGTCACAGTGTCAGTGACTATAGCAGCTTTCGTTGAGAGCAGTAGGTAGTTTGTGACATAAGTATGCGTTGTCCGTCTCAGACAGTTCTTCGTTTAAGCAGGCAGTACTCTCCCCAGACACGCTGGTATTTGTTTGGTATAAAAGGTAGGTTTGGAATCCAGATTGTTCGTCCTAAGACACCGGTGCGGCGGGTATCCAAGAATGGCTTACATGAGACCTTTTCCCACATCTCGGTGTCGAGAATATAGTGAGGCTCGAGCTTAGTCTCCTTGTCGCCTGGGAAATAGGAGTCCACCAAATATGTGCATTGAGAAATATCAGTCTAATAACATGTTAGCATCCGTTAGGTAAAAAGTTGTCGTTAAACCTACGTATTTCTCTGGATCCTCCAGGTTTCGGTCATTCATCCCTTTAGGAACAGTCCATGTTCCTGGGAAATATCCAAGACCAGCCCCGGACTCAGCAAATTCCCCTGGCAACAGCCCTCGAAATTCGCTCTGGACAAATTTCGCTCGAAGATTATTGTTCGGAAGGAAGAAGGAAGATGGGTATCGGTACCATTCCTTTCCATAACATACGAAACCCTCAGGTGGAGCACCGTCCGTTTGCAGTAGCGCATCAAATACCTGTAGAGGAGCGCTGTAAGCTGTCACCATGCCTACGGTCCTTAAAAGTCCAATATTTATGGCCAGTAACACAGGGATGACAGTTATAATGAGCTTCGCTTTAGCGGGTATTTTGCCAATCAATGTTCCAGGATCCGACGATCCGATATATGCAAGAACAATATGCAGACTGATGGAGGCATTGAGGGCTAGGAACGGGTAGGCAGGGTACATGAACCGTTCTTCCTTGTGAGGTTGAAGAGTAAAAATGGCGAACCACATGTAGAACGGCATTACCAGAGTCACTGATCTGAAAAGTGTTTGTGCAGAGGTTTTGTGAGGACGGAACAGGGCCTGGAGAACCAGCAGAGGGATGCTGGAGAGCGCAAGAATGGCCCACATGTTAAAATTGAGCAGGAGATTTTTGAAATAGAAAGTCCATGGTTCGGTCCCGAAAATGTTGGGACCTTTGCCGGAGCCGCCAAAGACGTTATAGGCCACAATGTTCCATGGAACAAGGGCGAATTGACGGTAGAATATGCTGTCAACCAAGACCACAACAGACTGCCAATAAATTAATTGTCAGTACTTTGAACGGCTGGATTTGTAGACAGAAAGGCATACCAAGATTAACAAGCATTTTAAGACCCCTTCCAATACCCGCTTGATAGCGGGTGCAATATCTCCTAGAGACCAAGCCACTGCAATCTCTTCTAGTAAAAATGGTATAGCCAATGCTCCTGCGAATGGCCAGCCGACCATGGCCCCAATACCGAAGCAAATGATCCCTTGAACGGTTTTCAATCCACCTTGCCAATCAAGGAAAGCAGCTAACCCCAGCATAGACATGTACATCGAAAAGCTGGACGGCAGGACCGCTGTAGATGCATGAAACATCCCAGGACTAAATACCGCAATCACAAGAAAGAAAAGCCCAATTCTCGGATTAAGTGACCGAGAAATCGCAGCGAACAGGCGCGTCTCACATATCGTGCAAAAAAGCCCAAGGGCTAACCGCACCATATAGAATTGCGCTGACTTTGTCCGTGCAAAAAGTCCCAGAGCCTTAGCTAGACCAGCGTGTAGACCGACATATAACCAGCTCCTGATGGAGTATTCGGGAGAATACTCCCAAGTCTGTAGGCCGTGACCATGGGTCAAGTAGTGTGCGGGTTCCCAGTAATTGTAGACTTCATCGCAGTCTTGGATAGGCGATAGTGCGGCGGCAAGGGTGTTGGAGAGAAGGCATAGGTAGAATACTGTGTTAATGGGAAGATAGAAAGGCGGAGGAGCCTGTCTAGTTGGCCCCTAGATTAGCTCGCTTAGAATTGAAAGTGAAGTTCTTGGAGCTTACTTTGATTTAGATGTCGACGTTGGGACATCTCCCGGGGAATTAGGAGGTGGCATGATGTCGACTAGTTCGTCAAAACGCGGAGAATAGCTTGAATTGAGCTTGATGCTTTGGATTATAAACATGGAGGTCGAAAACGCCATCTTGGCCCGAGACCTGCCACGTGACGTCACTTTATATCGGATTAACCTTGGACCGGGATGCGGCTCTTTCCGAAAGTTTAATCTAGTTGCTGCCTTATTTATATTTCGATGGAAAGAGTCACAGAATCCATCGTGTTACTTCTGTTTCTACCACACTCCGAACGAACAATATATATTGCTAAAATGCATCACTGGCATGAGGCTGGCTGTCAACGTCCAGATGTTGTTATCATAGACGATACAGCCAGATGTAAATCTTGTTTATCTCGCTGGTCACACGAGGAGTCAGTTGAAGTGACTTCCACGTTGACTGTTCCTCATATCGAATCTCTGTCTCATTTGAATCTTTCTTGGCCGGAAACAGTGAGATATACCCATCCTAATACTTCCTATGATGACATATCTATCCCGTCCTTACCAGGATCTAAACCTCCCAATGATCCGCAGTTGGTACCCTCGGTAGCAAATACCAATAGACTTGACACCTACCCCAATGCTACTGAAGG